TACTGCTCTGACGAAAGGCTAACAGTCGAAACGTCAGCTTCTAAACTCTTTACGGTTGGTCAATTTGCATTATCAACTTAGTTGATAAAGCTCCAATTACCGTGCCTCGATGTTGCTTGGAAAAATCTGGAGTCTTTTCTCCCTAACAAACCAGCTATGTTAGCATGAGAGCGATCTTCGCAATTATGAACATTACAGTAGTGAAAAATAGGCCTGAAAAAATTCAGGCCTGTGCGGGATTCGAACCCATGACCTCTGCGATACCGGTGCAGTGCTCTACCAACTGAGCTAACAAGCCAACTGGAAGCAGGTCATTATCCCTTGAAGTGACGAGTCATGATCAACGTTTATGAATGTATGAAAATCATACCAGTTGGCTTGTTAGCGAAGTGCGCTCTCATTCTAATTTCTTTAACCACAGTTCACATATATGATTTTCATATATTCACAAACGTTAAACCAGCTATGTCTTGATTTTTTTTATTATATTTTTGTACCAATGACTTATCAACTGCTAGGAGGATAATATTCCCTGAAATTCAATCGGCTCAGTCGTTTACTCTTTTACTCCCAAGAACGAATTAATAATTCTGCCTGCCATTCAGATCTTGTGATATTATTTTGGAGAATTTTTGTAGTGGATCAACCGATAATCCCCTTAGCTTATTGATTTATTTTTTATTCTCTTAACTTTTCTATTTGATATTTTATTGAATCAGATACTGTTAGGAGAAATTCTGTTTCGGTCACTTATGGGAACTAGAGGGTGAAAAGAGTCTTTTCAAGATTTTCTTGTTGGGGAAACAACGACAACAACAACAACAACTAAAAACAGATTCATAAAGGAGCAAATAAGAGGAAAAAAGAAAAGGAAAAGCAACAAACAAACAAACACATTCACTGGGGTAAATCATAATAACTCTGCCTTATTCAATAACGCTTCCAAATTAAGGGAATTTCCGCTTCAAAAATTGAATTGGGCATTTAAGTTTAGTGCGGTTTCTTTGTGTTTTTGCCGCAAAAAAAACAACAACAACAACAACAAAAAAAAAATACAGAAAGAACACCATGTTCCTATTTTATGGTTTGCGAGAAAAAATGTATTTTTCTACAGGTTTTCACGATGTAAACCAATTGCTATTTTCAATCAGCCCAGTAGGATCCAGTAGGCTTTATTTTTAAGACTTGATGTAGTGGTCAAATGATAAATTTCATCAGTGGCTATGTACTCACAAAATCACCAAATTTGGAAGGTCATTAAAGTTTTCGTTGGTGACAGCGGGAATCCTATTATCGGAAAGAGTACTGCGGAGAAA